TTCTCTACACCCAGCCCCAATCCTTGTCATAGTGAATGCAGGTACCTGGATCCTTATCTGAGTAACCTGACATCTTACTGCCCATAAAACAGCAGTTCCTGTTCTGTGTGGCAAACACTTTTTGGATGAGTTTGAGTCCCATCTACTGGCAGAAGGTCCCTCTCCCAGCAGGGCATGGTGGAGCCACAGAGAAGAAAAAGGACCTAAGCTGCTGTCCACCTCATGACTGGGAAAACGTCCTTTGTATTAATGAGAAAGAGTCTCCACAGCCCCTTAAACTTCCTTTTTGGTGAAACCTGGAAGTTTGACAGTGCTTTAAAAATAGCATCTGCTGAAATGTGCAGATCGCTTCCTTGTGCCGCCTCTGGAGCTCGGGCAGCCAACGCACAGCTCCCAGCTCTCATGGAGCGTGGCGCTGTTCACTGCTGAGCTAAGCAGGGTCCTGAAAACAGTGCCACGACCTGATCCTGAAAGATGGAATTGGCTCGTTGCAGTGTGTAAGCTGTTAATCATCTCTGATGCTGTAAAGCAAAGAAAATGCTCCTTGGTGGTGGTCGTTTTGCTGAGTCTTGACTTCTGTACGGGTTTTCTGTACTAAATTCCAAAAAATATGTGAAGGCCAGCTTGTGAAATAGTCTTTTTGAAAAGTTAACCATTATAAGCCTGAACCTGGAAAGGAAAAAGCCCCAAAAAGTGGTAAATGCATGCACTTGGGCTTGCTGCTGTCCTCTCCCACCACGCACAGCAGGAGCACACAGAGCAGCGTTTGAATGGGAGCTGTGGTGACGTGGTTGGTGTGTGACCACACGTGTGTGGTGTCCCAAGCTTTTGGAAAACCTCTGGGACAACCTCTACCTTGGTGTTCACAGCATAATCTAGCCTTGACGTGGTGTTTTAAGACTCTACGGGTGACTCCTTAGTAAAATGAAGAACTCGTGGTTACCCCACGCGTAGGCCAGGAGGGATGAAGGAAACTGCAAGACTTCAAGGAGAAAAAAAATGATTATTTACTTTAAATATCTTAAAATAGAGCCATCAAAATCAAAAACCAACATTTGGAATTGACAATATTTGTTGCTGCCTGAACTTGCTAGACTTCGGGAATGCGAGACGGCATTTAAAATTAGGTAGGGAATTGGGAAATATTTTTAACTTTCAAGGCTGATTGAAGCTGTATAAATATGTCTCAGTTTCATCTGCCACATCAGGTAACTATGACTGTTATGAAGTTCCAGTGGAACAAATTATATATAGCATTTACCTTTTTAAAAGGTCAGTGTTTTTCATTCATATTTACACAGGGAAGCTTTTTTTTTCCAGCAGCGTTGATTGCAGACCCGGGAGAGAGGCAAGGGAAATAATCTTCTTTTTTTGAATTGGTTCATGCCAGGCTGAGGTGAGATTGAGACCGAAAAAAAAAGTAAATTTCAATTCAGAAGTAAAGTTTTTTGTAAAAATCTTAGAAGTAAAAAACTTTAAAGGACATAGCGCATGTTTAAAATGTGTTCCTTAGTGGGATGTTCAGAAATGACAGACGTTGTAGTCTGCAATTTCCTATCTTACATGCTCTATTTCTTTTCAGTGAATCAGTTCTAAGTGCAAACCATTTTTCAGAAGTGCACTTTGTTTTCCTGTGTATGCAGCACTAGGAAAGTTATATTTAGCTGATGAAAATGTGCCCTGGTGAGACCGCATTTGGAATCTTGTGTTCAGTTCTGGGCCCTCAGCTCAAGAAGGACAGGAACTGCTTGAAAGAGTCCAGCAGGGCCACAGAGATGCTGGAGGGAGTGGAGCATCTCCTGCTGAGGAGCGGCTGAGGGAGCTGGGGCTCTTGAGCTTGGAGCAGAGGAGACTGAGGGGTGCCCTCATTCCTGGGGATCCATTGGGAAAGGGCAGTGTCAGGAGGAAGGAGCCAGGCTCTGCTCTGGGATGGCCAATGCCAGGACAAGGGGCAATGGTCCCAAGCTGGAGCACAGGAGGTTCAAGCTGAAGATGAGGCCAAAGTTTGTGAGTGTGAGGGTTATGGAGCATGGCCCAGGCTGCCCAGAGAGGTTGTGGAGTCTCCTTGTGTGGAGACACCCAAAGCCCTGGCCGTGTTCCTGTGTGACTGCTCTGGTGATCCTGCTCTGGCAGGGCTTGCACTGGGGGAGCTTTCCAGGTCCCTTCCAACTCCTCATATTCTGTGATTCTGTCATAAGCAGCATCCTGCGATATATTGTGGCTCCTAATTCCCATCCAGTTGTAGCACAGGACTATTTTGGACAGAAGGATAATTAGAAATGCCTCATTCACCACTTGCCACATAAACCCAGTATTTTTAGCATGTGCTAAACAGGGTAGCGTCTTAAACAGAAATAGGTAGGATGCCTTCCTTGCCTAGCAGCTGAGCAGAGCTACCGGTGCGTTTTAGGGAAAGCAGCAAAGAGGCAGAGTGCAAACCAGCGTTAAACTCGTGGTATAAATCTCTTCTGAAGCTTTGTGTGGTGGTGATGGGAGCAGACGCGGTGTCTGCTCGAGTCCCCTGTGCAGCGTCTGTTGCAGCAGCAGGAGTTGGGTTCCCACTGTTACCCTTACAGTACCGGCTCCTGAGACACGCAGCAGCGGCTGCTGCCAAATTTGGGGATGAAGCAGTAGCACTGCGGTGTTGAGGCTGTCATCAGCATTACCGTGCGTCCTCGAGACTTGAGCTGATGGATGGTCTCGCTGCAGAGTAAGGGTGTTCTGGTCCTCAAACTGCCAGCCAGTCCAAAAAAGCTGCTTTGTGCTGGAAGTGCAGGTGGTTGTGGTGCTCGTACAGGAGGAGTCAGCTGGGTGTGCTACAAGCACTGGGATCTTCCTCCTTCTCTTGTTCTCTTCTGCTCTTCCTCTGAGATCCAGTGATCACAGAGCACATCTGAATCCAATTGGATTTCTCCTGGGAAGATGTGACTTTTACGCTAGGATTTCTGGTGGGTGAA